TCCTTCACGAGGTTAGGATAGTCTAGTTTCAATAATCTAATTTCCTATATAGGTAGTATTACACGCTACTCTTATAATTATTCTAGTATTAATCTATTCTATAAATCTAATAGTTACCTATCTAGCCCTATAGTAATTATTATCCTCTATAATTAGATCTTAGTTATAGAGAGCCTTCTAAATTTACTTTATTTTCTTACCTATTATTCTTCTTTCCTTATTAAGGTTAATTATTTTATAAGGCGTTTAACTAAATACTTAGTTAGAGTTCTATAATAAGGGATACTAATTCTACTAGTATCTTTAGAAATTAGTTTTATTTATAAACCTTCTAGTATACTATAAATAGGAAAGACTTATAGAATAGCCTTAGAATAATATTATCTATAGAGTGACCTTTATTACTAATTTCTACCTACTAGTTATGCTAGTAGCTTAGGTAGGTATAGTTATTCTTACCCTCCTATAGCTTTATATAAATAGCCTTACTCTAGGCTATATAGTAGTAGTCTATGGGATCTTCTAGCTAATAAAGAAGAAACTAGTAAAAGTTATCCTATATTTATAAAGTATATAAGATATCCTCAAGCTCTTATAACCCTTAGAGTATTAAGTTAAGGTATAGGATTATAAGGTTTAGATAATCCTTCTCTAGGTAGTAATTTATTTTCCTAAAAGCTCTTATCTTTCGCGTGAATTTATAGTAACTTATATAGGTTATTATATAATACTACTTATCTTTAATAGGTATTTATAAAAGAAGAGGTCTTTTAGAAGGAGGTAGTTACTATACTTATAAATCTAATTAGTTATACTTATAAAGGGATAACTAGTAGTCCCCTTTAATAATTATAATATATTCTACTTATTTATAAAGGTTCTTAATAGCTTTAGCTTATTTATAAAGTTCCTTAAGGGATATATTTTTAAGGTCTTTATAGGGTATTATATTTATAATATTAGTTATTTAGTTACTCTTATTTATAGAACTACTAGAAGCTAAGAGTAAGATTACTTCTATATCCTTTAGGCTTATTATCTTTTTATAAGCTAGATAGATTAACTTAGCTATATTATAAGATAATTCTAGTTAAATAGTTATATCACGTGATCTTATCTTATAAGGTTTAGGTATTTATTTAGATTATCCTATAATAATAAGTATCCTTTACCCCTAATAGATAAATCACGAAGTTTAAGTATTAAAATTATAAGGACCTAAGGCCTAAAGGGGTTATAATAGGTATAAAAGGATATAAAGATACTTAATAAGAGGTATTAAAGATATAATTAATACGTGAATTAATAGTTAGGTTAGTATTATAGATTAACGCTAAGTTACGAAGTCCCTGCCTTCATGAAGGGAGGATATCCTTCCATGTGCTGAGTTAGCCAGGGGCTGACTCAGCCCGTGAAGTTCTAACTATCCTATATATATATATGGTGAGGGTCTTACAGAATGGTCTCGATTGATCTTCTTACAAATATAGAGGATCTAGACTAATCTCCTTATAAATTAATATGAATTCTATACAAATCTATAGCATTCTACTAACAAACATTAAAAGTATAAAAGTGAATGATTCTTTCATGTATCTAGTTGGAAACTAGAGATCCTAAATTATCAAAAATCAAAGTCCACATTCAGTGGCAAAAACCTTCCTTTATTATATATATAGTTTCACTTAATAATTCAGAAATTCTAATATATATACTATTAAAATCGCCACCCTATACCCTGTCAGGTATAGTTAAGGCTAGGTATATATAATATATATTTCTTTATATGACCTCCACCTTCCAACAACTACTAAAGGGCTTAAGGGAGTAAATAAATAAATATTAATAATTAGGATCTTATGGCTTTATATAGGGCTTGGTAAAGTAATTTATAGGTATATAGTTATTATATATAAGGTAGTAGCAAGGCATGAGGCATATAATAATATATTACTATGTTCTTAGCTAGTTTATAGGTAAAACTTCGATTTGCTGAATCGCCGCCCTTTTCAGCTGCCTCCTGTTTTGGGTTTGGCGCCCGCGTCCTCTGCTCTGAATCTGGGATGGCGCTGTCCATTTGCGGCTTAGCCCATCTATATTGGGTTTGGCTCGTCACTAGTCCTAAATAAGACATGCTATCTGTCTCCACCTATCACAAAACGTCCATAATCTATAAAAGGGCATGGTGTGTTGCTTAACCACAAATTCTCTTGCCTCTAATAGCCTTCTATTTATTTCACCTTTACTTCCCCTATTACTTACCTGCATGGCTAACGTGGCCCCTTTACCAGCTGAAAACTCCATGTCTCAGGCATAGCCTGCTTCTCCACCTTAGAAATTACATAGACGTGATTGCCCTTGGGTTTTCTATCTTCTACGCTTTGAATTTTATTTTTAATGGGCTAACTTCGTTTTCTTAGGGACTCTTTGCTATGCCTTGAATGCTAGGCGGATGGCTATCTATAAGATTAGTAAGCCTTCTCCCTACCCTGCTTGATATTCTTCAGTTTCCTCACACGTGGCGAACAGGACACTGTGAAGAGGTGTCCGACTAGAATGGTAGTGGAAACTAAATTAGGTGGCCATTTTCCTAGCTTTACTCCGTGAATGGAATGCACCTTCCTGAATACTAGGCCACCTGACCTAACCAAGCCTGCATGCAACTCCAATTGACTGGCGGAGTTACTACCTTACTAGATCCGCCTTGCTCTAATCAACCAACCGCAAAAATGCCTCAAGCAGCTCTGTGGCTGAGCCGAAGTTGTTTAAATAATCACGGAGTTAATGGCCTGCATGGCCCGCGAGTAGGAGACCGTCGCTAGATTCAGGTATTTTCTAGTTAACCTTTCTTGAGTGCGAACTTGTTAGCCATGATAAAATGGTGGCTGTGATGTTGCATTAACAAGAAGTTGAACCCTTACCAGGCACTCTAAGCCAGTGGCTTCTCTTACTAATAGAGGTTAGCTATTTCCTTGAAACACAAGCGAGGTCTAGAATTAGCTAGGCGGGGAGGTTACTATCTTATTTAGCTTTTCTTCTCTAATATTAGTGCTCTGGTGGCACCTGAATATTATAAGAGCTGGCTGATTTTATTCCTTTGTCCTTTATCTTTGAAATCTGGTATAGTGAACTGGAATTTAATAGTCTAGTAATAACTTCGTCCTTTCTTTACTAGGCTTCTTTATCCCTAGAAACTTGTCTCTGCGTTATCTTTGCATCTTTACGGAAAATAAGGGTAAATCTTAATGAAATCCAGTTCTACCACGGTCCATCTTACCAACCGCCGTCAAGCGATGTAAAAGTGCCTCCAGTTCATGCTCCACAGTCTGTCCAGCAATCTTTCCCTAGTGGAATCGCCGTCCGTTCAACAAGTAAGAGCGTTTGGAGTACCCATGGAGCAAGGATCGCCATTAACCAGCACGACTTACGAATGGAACATATTTGATATTGAGATCAACAATATAGGTGGTTCCACTGTGCCTGGAGTAAGAGAAGACTTTAAACACGAAGTAATAATAGAGTTTTTAGCTACTACTAATGTTCTATTAGAACTTAAAAAGTCTTCGTTATCCCCTTTAGAGCTACCGCCACCTGAGAACCCCGCGCCACTAGCTTTAGGGCCCGTAGTGGCAGAGAACCTTGGTGGCGTCTCTCTAGATGTGTAGCAAAGTGGCCTATGATGTAAGTTAGTATAATTAATAATAATTAATTATCATCCTCTCCTTGCTAATGATTTTTAGATGATACTAAGGGAGTGGTAACTCCTTAACTAATGTGCGTGCCCTGTGTAATAGCACAAGCACCTAAGGAAGCAAGCTATGCCTCTAGTAGCTATCCTATATGTGCTAATTCCAGGCAAGAATTACCTGATTAAAATTTATCTATCACGGAGGCCTGCCGCTCAACGTGTACCAATTTTAAAAACTATAAAGCAGATATGGGCTCATCCTAAATATTTAATCTACGTGAAACTCTGTGCAGGGAACTTGATTCTCTAGAGCCAATTAAAGATGCTGGGCCTGCTGAATTCGAGTCATCCTCATCTCGCTCAACTCCTTGCTCGGCAAGGCGCTCTAGCTCCAGCCTGGAATTGTCTAGCACCCCAAGGCTAACATCTAAAAGCCTAGTACGCTACCCCTCAATTGTAGTGGTTGTGCCAGTAATTTCATGGAACGAGGAAACTACTATTAGGAGAAGTACAAGGGCAGCTACAGCAGCGTGTAAGAAGCGAATCCGTGAAAATTAAGAGAGGAGTAATAACACTGCTGCGTCTTCCCCTGACATAGAGCAAAGTCTAAAGAGGAAAAAACGAGGTCCTGTGAGAAAGCCATATTCTTAGGATGCTAAAACTACTATTTATTCATCCTATAGTCCCCATGTAATCCGTGGGAGTGCCTTTCTTAGTATTAAATTGGATTTAGGTCCAAAACTAGCATACTACTTTACCTTCGTTCTAGATGCCCATTTAGTGGAGTCTCTACTACATCTAAAGGGTATTTCAGGGAGCAAAGTACCATACTCATCCAACGAAAATGCCCTGCTGGTCCAGCTTAGGGAAAGGGAGGCATTGCCATGGTCAGAAATTACAGACTACTTTCCTGGCCGAAGTGCGGCGTCCCTCCAAGTGCACTATTCAACTAAGTTGCGGGCTAAATTAAAATATTCGTCGCGACACCACAAGGGTGCTGATACGAGAAAGGGTCGACCTCTGGAGATTGCTTGGTGCATAGAAATCACCACGAGGACAATAACAGGATGTGATGAATATTTTCTGGAGAATGACAGTCATTTTACATAGTCTTTTGAAAACGAATCAGCCATGTAGTCAATTATCACTTTCAGAGTCCCTAATCATTTCAGGTCCCCACCTCCACAACTGAGCGCTACAGGCCCACGACAACGGCGAGTAGGCGCGTATGTTGGGCTCAGGATAGTAGTCAAGCGAAAGTCAGGTCGAAGTCGTCCCGCAGCGGTTCAGCGTCGCAGAGGAAGGCTTGAGTCTATTCAGAAGATGCAGAAAGACGAAGTTTCTTTGCTCGGTTGGTTGCCGTCGTAGAGCGGGGCCGCTTTGGGAACGAGGTGGTGGCGCCCCTTTTTTTGAGCAGTTTGACGATCTTTTCGTGGCGTCCCTCTGAGGCCGCCTGGAGAGCATTCCCATATTCGCCACCTTGCGCATTGACATCTGCTCCCTTGTCCAAGAGTAGTTGAACAATCTCTTGATAGCCTCGTGCTGAAGCGGCCTGGAGAGCATTGCCACCTTGCACATTGACATCTGCTCCCTTGTCCAAGAGTAGTTGAACAATCTCTTGATGGCCTCCTGATGAGGCAACCTGGTTTGCCATGGCAATGATAGATAGGATCGAAAGACCTGCGTAGGAAGCCTTGAGGAACGGGCGAGTGTTTAGCATAGAAAGTATAAAGCTGAAGAGGGGGGGCCGGGAAAGGTTGCTGCGCACAGTTGCCAAAACAGCCATGTAATCATCCGCTGCGATATTCCCCTTTACACCAGCTCGCACATAGAGCCGCAGCGCGATTGCAACCAGGACGAGGACCTGCAGCACGATGGTGACCACCAGGCAGGCTGTCGGAGAGTAGGCCATGCTACCACCGTCGAAATTGTGATGCTACGAACCATGTTCACAGCGCCTGCTGGGGCTATGGTGAGTGAAAACGATTTGAATGACAGAAACAAGTCATCGGTGCAAAATGATCTTTGATAACTCTAATTGTGCGTGGCAAAGGTACTCTTCGGAATCTAGTCGCGAGCTGTCATTTAATATGTTGGTTTGGGGATCCGAGCCTCGGCTGGCGTGGCTAATCCATGGTTCTCGAAAGCAGTCATGACGTTGAGAGCGATGATTCCCTCCAAGATCGCTACTTGATGTAGCATTCTTTTAACCTTATCTAATGCTCTCTATGCCCTATGAGATGTTTTTGCGCCGCGTTCCACACTGGTTGGCGGGTGCGTCCACATGGCTACGGAACAACCATGGATATACCTGGTTATTCGGGTTATAACGGAGGATTTCTACCCCATATTTTCCCCGGACACAAAAGGCAGCTAGCTCTAGACTTGGAGTGGGGACTTACTCGGAATCTTAATAAGCTGCTATGCCATATAGAATCCAATCGCGTAAAAGCGCTAGCTGACGCGCCACGCTCAAGCGATGGCCCACGGACTACAGGCACGAGACCTCTTGCTGCGGTGATCATCGGAGCGAACCAATACCGGTGTGCTGCAAGGGATTAGAGCACTTGTGCGGCTAAAGGCCATTGAAGAAAGGGAAAAAAGAGAGAGAGAGAACAAAAAAACCTAATGCTTTGTCTCTCCTTTCCGTGGCCAGAGCTTAAGCCCACAACAAGAAATCGCAGGGGTGGCTCCTTGCGAGTAGTAAAGCACCAAAATCCTGGATAGACTGGGCCAACTCATTGGGTCTCACCATCCTGCTACTGATGGGAACAGGAAACAGGACCCATCTATCAAAGCAGCGGTTATTCCGGCGGACGTAGGGATGGGCGGAATCTCCGCGTCGACAGCTGCAAAAGTGGGCAAGGAATGAAGGCGGCTATTCCGCCGTATCAAGGTTTCCGAGAAGAGAAGCCAGATTCTATTCCATATATGAATCACTCACTGGAGGTGCATAAATGTACCGCCTCTGTATCGTGACGTCCACCCTGTATAGATGCTGCAATGATGGAAGCATATTACTATTTCCTGCTTGCTGCTGGCTTCATTGTCTCCGCTCTGCTCATCAAGCACCTGAACGGCACTGATATCCCGCACATCCGAGGTCTACCAGAGGCTCCTGGCGTGGCGCTATTTGGAAATCTACTACAGTTCGGAGATCAGCATCCCCGAAGAACCCTCGAATGGGCCAAAAAGCTCGGCCCGGTCTTCCAGGCTCGGCTCGGCAACAAGGTGCGCGCGTCGGAGGCAGTTCCCATTCCCTTTCCTATTCCGAGGTGCGGAGGAGAATGCAGTGGACGCTGACGGGTCTAAACCTGGTAGAGGATTGTCTATGCAACGAGTTTTGATGCCATCAGGAAACTCTGGATCGCCAATCAATCTGCGCTCATTTCGCGGCCCGTCCTCCACACCTTTCACAATGTTGTTTCCTCATCTCAGAGTTTCACTATTGGCACCTCGCCCTGGGACGAGTCGTGCAAGCGCCGACGAAAGGCCGCGGCCACTGCACTCAACCGTCGATCTGTGCAAAGCTACATGCCCATAATTGACCTCGAATCGTGTGTGGCAGTGCGTGATATGCTCAAGGATATCCACCACGTCGGATCTGATATAGACCCTCGCGTCTACTTCCAAAGGTTTGCGCTAAACACGAGCCTCACGCTAGGATACGGAATCCGGATTGATGACAATGTGGACAACGAGCTGCTAAGAGAAGTGATCGAGGTCGAGCGGGCAATCAGCACCCTCAGGAGTACCAGCAATAACTGGCAGGACTATATCCCTATCCTGCGGCTGTTCTCTGGCCGAAATGACAGGGCCAGGGATGTCAGGGAGCGACGCGACAAGTATCTTTCGCATTTTCTCGGATTGCTTAGGGCCGCCATGGCGGAGGGGACGGATAAGCCTTGCATTACTGGCAACGTGCTGAAGGACCCAGAAGCAAAGCTCAGCGAAGGTAAAAAGAAACTCGGCGCACCGATAACCTAGTACTGCCAACCTTGCTGACTCAACTTGTAGCCGAGGTCAAGTCGATTTGCGTGACGATGATCGCCGGCGGGTTGGACACGGTTCCCGGGAATATGGTTCTGGGAATGGCATATCTGTCGTCACCCCACGGCCAGCAGATTCAAGACAAGGCATATCGACTGCTGCAGTCCACCTATCCCTGTGGCGATGCCTGGGACAAATGCATCGAGGAGGAGAAAGTCGAGTTCATATCCGCACTGGTTAAGGAGGTCCTGCGCTACTGGACTGTCCTACCCCTATCTCTACCCCGAGTAAGTATTCGTGACATTAAATGGGAAGGTGCGGTGATTCCCAAAGGAACAATTTTTATAATGGCAAGTACCCAGAAGAACTCTCCCTCTAGCCGTCTAGCCCAAGCTGTCGCTAACCACGGGTGTAGAACGCATGGGCTGCCAATTATGACGAAGAGCAGTTTCGCAACGCCTCGGATTTTGTTCCCGAACGGTACATGAACCTGCCCGAGGGATCTGGGACGCCCCATTATGCATACGGCGCCGGCTCTCGAGCGTGCCCTGGTTTCCACCTTGCAAACCGTGAGCTCTATGCTGTCCTGGCGCGGCTGATTCTCGCCTTTGAGATTACCGAGGCAAGCGACGAGGCAGACCGACCGGTGCTCGATGCCCTTGATTGCAATTCTGTCAAGACCAGTCTGACGACTGAGCCCAAGCCGTTCAAGGTTTGTCTCCGCCCGCGTAATAGAGAGTTGTTGGAACAGTGGATCGCGCAGAGCGAGCAAAAGACAAAGGAAATTTAGTTGGTCATGCTAGTCAGAGCTAGGCCAAGTGTTTTTTCTTGAATAGATGTGTAGGGGTTCAGTTTATGCTATTGGATTTTTTTGCTCAATCATGGTTCAAATCAAAATGTTCCGTAGTAGTAGGCAGTGTACGACATGACCTCTACTACCTGAAAGTGTGGCTGGGTTAGTAGACCCAGCACAAGTTTATTATCAGTTATCATGATCTTCCTTGAAGACTAGTCTAGCATATCGCCCATACTATATTGTAGCTGCCTAGTACACTGAATTCGCTAAGCCAATGCTCACTTGAATTGCTATAAGATTTGTGTATTATAATCTATTTACTCTCCTCTGGGCCTACCGCATGGGTCAAAGTAGATTTTCAGCCCGTCCCAGCTCTCCTCGCTATAATGCTCTTGCACCTTTTGACAAGCTTTCAACCCCCAATCAGTCACGCCCATCATGTAGCAGCTCTCAAACATAAACGCCATGCTACCCTGTCCAACCTTATCCGGGACGAGCGTCTCATTGGTCGCCTTCTCAAAGGCCCCCGCGTCCGGCCCATGCGAGCTCATCACATTATGAAGACTGGCCCCCGCAGGCTGGAACCCACCCTTCCCACCTCCCTTGGCTATGTAGTCGCCGGCAATCAAGCCCATGAACTCGGACATGACGTTGCGGTGGTACGAGGGCGGCCGGAAGGTGTCCTCCCCGACGAGCCACCGCGGTGGGAAGATGACGAGGTCCGCGACTGCGGTCCCCGGGTGTGCGTTTGTCGTCGCCGTCAGCACGGTGTAGATGGACGGGTCCGGGTGGTCGTAGGAGATTGTGCCGATTGTGTTGAAGCGGCCGAGGTCGTACTTGAAGGGGTAGTAGGTTCCATGCCAGGCGGCCACGTCGAACGGGGTGTGTTTCTGTGTCGCCTGGAAGAGACGCCCTCCAAACTTGGCCTGCAGCAGGCACCGGCGGTCGTCGTCGGCGGCGGCGTCCTTGGTCTGCTGGACCCTGTACGAGGCGACGGGCACTTGAAAGTCACGCTCGTTGGCTAGACAGTTGGAGCCAATCGGGCCGAGCTCTGGGAGGCTGAAATGGCCCTGGAAGAGCTCGAGGATGTACCCCCGGACCGGGACCCCCTCGTGCAGGCTGACCCGGTAGCGGATACCGCGGGGGATCACACAGATCTCCATGGGACGGACAAAGAGGCGGCCCATTTCGGTCTCAATATCCAGTGCACCTGTCTGGGGCACGATGAGGAAGTCTCCATCGGCGCTGTAGAATGCCGTGTCTGCACCCATGGACTGGCTGGCAGTGTAGACGTAGTACGCGACCCCGGTCTTGGTGGCCGGGTCTCCAGCGCCAGCAAGCAAGCGAAGACCCCGAACCCAGTCAACGCCAGGGACCAGATCGAAAGGGTCCCACCGGGTTTGGTTCGGGACCAAATGGAACTCGGGCAGTAGATTCGGCTGGGCGGCATCTGTGGTCCCAGGGTTGACGTCGTCGTCGAGAGGCTCAAACGCCGAGTGCGCGCACGAAGGGAGGACTCGATACACCCAGGCCTGCTTGTTTTCCGCGCGGGGCGCAGTAAAGGCCGTCCCAGAGATCTTTTCGGCATATAGCCCGTAGGGCGCTTTCTGCGGGGAGTTGTGCCCTATTGGTAGTGCGCCCTTGAGAGCCTCGGTTCTGTCCAAGGGTTAGTATGCTTTCCGCTCTGGTGGGACATGACAAGGTAGGGTACTCACTCATGGTTTCCAAGCCCTGTGGCATAGCTATATGGATCGCGAGTATCAAACTGTGTTACTCGCATGATGCTTATCAATGAGTAGCTGGTTCGCCATGGATATTGTTGCGTGTCCCGCTGGGGTTAGATATGCCTGCTGTGCGCGGGGATTCCGCTCCTGGCGCGGAATCGCCACTGTTGACCCAATTCATGCTAAAAGACAGAAATAAGGTTTGCTACTACTCACCAATCAAATAACATGGTATGCTGTGGGACACAGGATGGAGCATGAACCAATAAACAAGACCAACCTTGATCTTCCCCGCTCCCCCACTGCAACGTGCAGAGTTTGTTGGGAAGCTACCAGATCACATTTCGCTGCTCGCCAGCCCCTCGTCGACAGGCAACAAGCAACAAGCACCGAGGGTACGAGAAACTATGGACAATCCTACTGCCCCAACCCGACCGCGCAAGCGAAATCGCTATATCTGGTTGGCCTGGTACGTACATTACCCCGGGTCAAGATGTACAAGAAATAACAGCGATCGCAGTGACGAGTGTCGCCGACGCAAAGTCAAATGTAGTGGTGACCGTCCATGTCAGCGATGCGACATGCTTGCTCTGAGCTGCACCTATGAGCAAGGGCCGCAGCATAATAATCATGACGGCAGCATGAAACAGTGCGTGGCTTGTGGATTCTAGGTTCTAAATGACTGCTGATTTAATTTGGATTCGGTAGGACAGTAGATGACATGCAAGCAACCATTGCCAGTATGCAGGGCCAGATCGCGTCCATCATGTGCCAGATGAGCCGTAATTCGTGTCCAAGACCTGCTCCTGCCGTCGAGCCAGTGTCTGTGGGTGCGAATAGCGACATGCCTCCTCCAGATCCCCTGTTCCTGATAACCCTTGATGAGGCTGTACGGTACATTGATATTTACAATCAAGCCGTCTCCCAGACATACCCGGTAGTCGATGGCGAGTTTGTGCTCTCGCACGCACGGGCAGTTTGGGACCCAGCCGCGCAGGTCCACGAGAGTGGCCTTCTCCAGAGTCGCGATACGGCAATGCTACGTGCAATCCTAGCAGTGGGAATAGTGGTGGATAACGGCCACCAAAGGCGAGAGATGACCGACTTGCTATTCCAAGGAGTAAAGTCTGCGCTGGATGAGCAGCTCTTTCATAGTGCCGCAAACACGTCGGGGGTTGTTCTTTTCACACTTGCCGTAAGCTGGTTCCGGTTCCAGGCGCCTGTCTACCTTCTGGACTAATTTCCTCTAGAGCTTTTACTTCTTCTACTTGTCACAAGAGCTCCAGGCATGGAGGATGATATCGTCTGCCACCAGACTTGTCCTGGAGCTCCGACTCCACACCAAAGAAGGATGGGACAGCTTGGATGCTCCGACAAGGGATTTGTGCACCCGCATATTCTGGTCGGTTTATATACTCGATCAACGATTGAGCAGCGCAAACAATGTTCCTTTCTCCCTACACGATTCCGACTTTGAAAGATCTGTCCCAGCACCGGTTAAGCTCCTCCATTTCCATATCTACCGACTGCCAGCCCTTTAGCTGACTGAAAGCCAGGCATCCGCTGAGTATCCATATTTTACCACAATGGTTGAATATAGTCGTCTGTGCTCAAAAGTTCATACCTTTCTTGCTCCGTACACACGTGGAAATGACGATAGGATCGACTCGGCAAAATCGGAGTTTCTGCACTACCAGATCGAACAATGGTACGATCACTTACCCAAGGATCTCAAGTTCAACATCCAGGAACCGGAAGGATCAAGCAGCGTGGCGTATCCCCTGAGGGCGCTGCTGTACCTCCGCCGGAACCAGCTGCGGACATTGATTGAACGGCCCAGGCTGCATTCCACGATGGCGATCATGGAAGACTCGGCCCGTGCCCGCGCAATCATTGAGACTGCCAACGACACAATCCGGGCCCTGGTTCACATTAACAACGCATCGGCCATGTATCAAAGCCAGCCCGTGGCCCTGGACTATTTCCTGGCCTCGGCACTTTCCGTTCACCTCCACGCAGCCTGCCACGGACCCCCAGACTTTGCGCCTCTTTGCTACACCCAATTCATGGAGGCCGTAGAGCTAGTCAAGTCTCTGCCTCGAGGCTTTGAGTCAGTCCGCCTACAGACACTTGTCAAGACAACAGGCAATCTAGTCAGGGCGCGCGGCCTGGCCCCGTTGGATGCACGACACTCGCCGTCTGGAGAAGGGTCTAGCCTGGCGATTGAATTGTGCAATCTGTTTGGGGCAACCATGGCCAACGGGAATGCGAACCAGGCATATTGTAGAGGTATGTCTCGCGGTGTTGCGTTGGATGGAGTTGGTGAAGGAGACTTGGCTGGCTGGCTGGAGAGTGGTGGGCCGGTATCTCTAGACGCGTTGCCTCTGCTGGGACATGATGAGTTGGCTAGTATCTTTGGCGATCTGCGTTGATATATGTAATTTGTCCCGTACACGCAATATCCTAGTGCCCCAGCCTCAACAAAGCAGGCAATAGGAATAAATCCTCAGCCCAAGGCCTGCGAGCCCGAAACAAAGCGGAATCTCCCCGGGCTCGGTGCATAAGAGGGACTGGGCTGGCGATAGTTTGTACCATAATCTTAAAGTCATTTCTTCTCATCTCAAACATGGCTTTCTCCAGCTGGTTACCTATTCCCACCAACTCCCCATTTAGCCTGGCCAACATCCCCTTTGGGATCATCCAGCGGTCTGCATCTGACCCCCCCCACCCAGCAATCGCAATCGGAGACCACGTCCTCGACCTCGCGCTATTCAGCGCGCACGGGGGATTCTCAGCAATTTCCCTTTCCCCAGCTCTAGACGTGAGCGTCTTTGAAAAACCAACCCTCAACGCCTTTGCCGCCCTCGGCCAACCCACCCATCGAGCAGTCCGCCACTACCTACAGGATGTATTCCGGAAGGAGACCCCCTACGGACCCATCCTGCGCGACAACCCGGACCTCCAGCGCCAGGCACTGCTCCCGCGGGGATCCGTGCAGAACCTCCGGCCCATGCACGTGGGGACCTTTACCGACTTTTTCGCGGGGATACACCACGCCCGGAACTGCGGAGTCATCTTCCGGGGCGCCGCCAACGCCTTGCAGCCAAATTATACCCATCTCCCTGTGGGATACCATTCCCGTGCCTCGTCGGTCGTTGTCTCGGGCACCCCTGTCTATCGGCCCCGTGGCCAGATCCTATCACCATCGGGAGAGGCCCCTTCCACAGCTGCTTCTTCAACGACGACGACGACGGGGCCCAAGGCCGTTCCCATCCTGGCACCCTGCCGCCGCCTGGACATGGAATTAGAGCTCGGCGCGTTCCTGTGCAAGGGGAACCGGCTGGGTGAGCCTATCCCAATCGACCAGGCGGACGAATACATCTTTGGCTACGTGCTGGTGAATGACTGGTCGGCGAGGGATATCCAGGCCTGGGAGGCTGTCCCGCTGGGGCCATTCAATGCAAAGAGCTTCTGCACGACCATCAGTCCGTGGGTTGTCCTGCCCGATGCCCTGGAGCCGTTTCGGGTCCGGGCGTTGGAGAGTCCGGATCATCCAGGCCAGGTGCTGCTGCCCTATTTGCGGGAAAAGGTCGAGCGCAACGTCTTTGATATTAATCTGGAGGTTTCGCTTAGCAGTAAGTTTTTTTTTTTTTTTTTTTTTTTTTTTTTGATATTGTTTTCCCTGGCTCAAGTTCCTGGGGGCACGTATCTCCATCTCTATCTCATCCCATCCCCATTCCCATCCCAGCCAGAACCCGTGTCCTATCAATGTATCATATCTAACCTCTGCCCCGTCTATCACCCACCCATAGCATCCACCCACGAGACCCCGATCAGAATCACCAAGACCAGCAGCCGCAACCTGCTGTTCTCATTCCCGCAGATGATCGCCCACCACACCGTCAACGGATGTCCACTGGAAACCGGGGACCTCTTGGGCTCGGGGACGATCAGCGAAACCGAGCCGGGGACCCTGGGGAGTTTCCTCGAGATGACGCAGGGCGGGAAAACCGCAGTCGCAATCCCGATCGAGGTCGAGGTCGCAGCAGTCCCCGTGGGGTCTGAGGGAGGAAAAGCTCGGAAAGAAGTGGGCAGGATGTTTCTCGAGGACGGCGACACGGTCACGATTACGGGGGTTTGTGCGGGATCGCCGGCGGTTGAGGGCTGTTTGGTTGGGTTTGGCGAGTGCTCGGGGACGATTTATCCTCCTTGCGCGTATGACTACTAGTAGAGATGGCAGTTTAGATGAAATGGTTAATCCTATTGGACGTCCAACGAAAGAGAAATTAGTTCATATTGATTATAGTGTCCGTGTGGAATGTCAGTACCACGGGCCCCGTGAATGGTTGAGATGTCTGCAGGTCGGATACTCCTACAGCAGGAGATGCTGAGAATATAACATGTGATGCACACAACTAGTAGGATAAAAAGATGTCACGGGTCAAGACCCCAGTTAGACCTGCTGTGCATGTACATCAGCTCAAGGTTGGTATATTCTGGTTGACATGTTCTAGGGCCAGTGCAAGAGAAACTGGGGGGAAAAAAAGGGAGAGAGAGAATAAGGATGATTAACCTAAATTTCTATCACAGCACATGATTATAAAGTATCTTCAATTATAGCTACCAGGATTTACTGGTACCTTCCATGCTTGCCCGAAGAACAAAGCCCAGCCAGCTCTTTCACAGCTTCGACCCGGCCTCTACCATCCCTACTGCACCACAATCCAGATGTAATCCACTCGCAATCAGCTTATTCTCCCGGAGAGAAGTCCTCCACGCCGGCTTCCCACCCCCGAAATAATCATCCACCTGCTCAAGCGAAAGCCGCGCCGTCTCCGGCATCAACAAAAACACCAACACGAGAACCGCCCCAGACACCCCAAAGTAAAAGTACCCGACGCGGGCGCCCATCCGCCCATACTGCGCATCCAGCATGTAGGGCGACCAGAACGAGGCCGCGAAGCTAAAGACCTGATACAGGGCCGTGCTAAACGCCTGGCCGTGCGTGCGCAGCCGGACCGAGTGCATCTCCGGCGACGCGACCCACGAGGCCGGGCCGACGGATCCGCCAAAGGTAAACGACCAGATGCAGATAAAGGCGACGAGGACTCGCTGCGCGGTTGGGTTGTCTTCACCGAGCGCGGAGTTGGCGGCGGCGAAGATCAGCATGCACAGACCCATCCCGGTATACCCGGAGAGCATTGTGCGGCGGCGGCCGACGGATTCGATCAGGAAGGGGCCGAGGAGGGCGCCGGCGAATGTGCAGAGTCCGATGTAGACGTTGACGAGGTACGGGTTGGTGACGCCGACGTTTGCGAGGAAGAGGGTCGAGTAAGGGGTGATGAAGGCGATGCCCGAGATGGCCAGGCCGACGAGGATCAGGGCTGAGACGAGGGTGCGCCAGCGGTTGGCCGAGTTGAAAATCTCCAACGCCTCTACAGAGCCGCTCGTGGCTTGTTCCCGCTCCAGATGGTCCTGGATGGTGTCCAACTGCAGGCTGATGGTCTCACAGTCCGGCTCCATGTGGTAGAAGCGCGACAGCGAGTGGCGCGCAGGGTCGCGCTTCTTGTTCAGCAGGAGCCAGCGCGGGGATTCCGGAAAGTAGCAAAGAGTCGCCGCAAAAATCAGCCCCAGCGGGATCTGGCAGGCAATCGGAGTCTTCCAGGCCCAGTCGCTGGGCAAATATGCGGTTCCCACACAGACGCCGGCCGCAGTCAGACTCCCCAGGGCCTGCCCGACATTGAACAAGCCCAAGAGGAAGCCACGTTGTTTCGGGAACACACACTCGGCTCCGTAGATGGGGCCATTGGAGTAGAGCAGACCGATCCCGATCGCACCCAGGCACTTGCAAACCATGTAATTGAGGTAACTCCCCGCGGTTCCAAGCATCCCAGCGGCGCCGACAGCAGTGACCAGGCTCCCTACTTGCATTGTGCCTCTGCGACCGAGAAACGTTGCCACCAGCCCGCCAGAGGCACCGCCAACGGCGATGAAGATCGAAGTCACGCTCATGAGTGACTGTTGGCTAGCAGAGAGCTGACAGCCGTCGGACTCACAGTGGCCAAATGATCGTTTGAAAGCGGGCATCGTGAGGACCACGCCCCCGTAGGTAAAGTCAAAAACACTGATCCAGGCGCTGATGGAGATCCAGATCGAAAAGACCACCATGGTTCGAGTCGCACGGTAATCTCCCAGACGGATATCGATACCCGCTGGGGGCAAGGACCGCGTATCCTCGAGGTGTACGGCACGGTTAGGCTTCATGTCGCATGATGCAGATGTCATGTGGTTGATAGAAAGGTAAAGGCAGTTGAAGTTCTTGTAGTCTGGATCATATTTATGACTGGCGATCACCACAAGGAATCCCCGCGTTTTGCGTTCCGTCGTTTGGTTCCCCGCGTCCCACAGAGACGTTCTAGACCCCGTGGCGCGGGGAGATTCCGTGAGGGTTCGGCAGTCATGGGAGACTACAGATAAAAACTGATGTTTCTGTCACACTGGTGGACTCGAAGCTGCAATCACCATGCCTCTGGAACTCAACATTGCATACAAGCCAATCTCGCCGCCTCTTGTGGGCGAAAACGGCTACCGGGGGTTCCTGGGATTCAGTGAGATCCTCCCCAAGGGATGGAAGGCCAGCGACTCCTCGAAACCCCTCAGCACAGACATCCTCGTCGACCACGATGTCGAGCTCCGGATGCGCGACGGCTGCAAAATCTATGCCGACATCTATCGCCCCACAACCTCTAGCAGCGACTGCCCGGTCCCTGCGATTCTGTCCTGGAGCCCCTTTGGTAAAAAGTTTAATGGAATGCATTTCCTGCAGGCCATGACCCCGTACAATATGGGCGTCAGGGGCACCGACCTCAGCGGCCTCGAAAAGTTCGAAGGTCCCGACCCGGCCGACTTTGTCCCTCACGGTTTCGCTATTGTCAACGTGGATCCCCGTGGGATTGGTGACTCGGACGGTCTCTGCCATATAATGGGACCACAGGAGGGTCAAGACGGATACGACGCAATCGAACATGTTGCCATGCTCCCATGGTGCAGCGGCCGCGTTGGAATGGCAGGCAATTCACATCTGGCGGTGATCCAGTGGCACGTCGCGCAGTTGCAGCCGCCGTCCTTAAAGGCAATCGCCCCCTGGGAAGCGTGCAGCGACTTGTTCCGTGAGCAGTTTGTGCGCGGGGGGGTCTATGCTGGGGCCTTTTATGACCACATCACCGCTGCCATGTTCAGAGGTCGACGGGGCATGGAGGACTTTGCTGCGATGCATCGACGAGATCCCCTCGCCAACGCCTACTGGGATAGCAAGCGGCCAGACATGTCGCGGATCCAGGTTCCAGCCTACATCACGGCGTCATTCAATAGCTTCCTCCATACCATGGGGTCCATCCGAGGATACATGCAAATCCCACATTCCCAGAAATGGCTCCGGTTTAGCCCGTATCAAGAATGGCATGACCAATGGGCGGTGGAGGACTCCAAGCAGGAACTGATTGCCTTTTTCACGCGCTATCTCCAGGACACAAAGAACGACTGGGAAAAGACACCGCGCGTCCGCCTTTGTACACTCCGCTTTGGCGCATTGGATGCCATCACGGACCAGGTTTCAGAGGACTTTCCTTTTCCTCAGACGACTTACAAGACACTGTTCCTGAGGGAGGGTGGTAGCCTTGACCCACAACCCGCGAAAGAGAGCCATACAGTCTCGTACAACTCTGAGGATCCAGGATGCATCGCTTCTTTTACCCACGTCTTCACGACGCGCACTGTTTTAACCGGGATCCCCAAGGTGGTGCTATACATGTCCTGCCCCGACTCCGACGACATGGACGTGTACGTGATGATTCGAAAACTAGATACAAATGGAGACGCAATGCTCTGTCTCAATGTGCCCTGGTCATCCATCACGCCGAAAGCCCTTGCAGAGATCCCGCAGGAGATGGCAAGCGACCTTCTCGTGTACAAAGGGCCTGTGGGGATCCTGCGGGCCTCCCATCGCGAGATCGACGCGACTCAATCAATGCATCCCAACTACCCCTTCCACCCTCATTCCAGGGCGCAGCCGCTGCAACCGTCCGAGGTGGTCAGGCTTGAGATTGGGATATTCGCTATGAGTATTGAATATGCACCTGGTGAGGCGTTGCAGCTGCAGGTGTCTGGGCAGTCTCCGCAAGAGGTGTCGTTTAGAGAAATCAAGGGGCGCACAGGTAATCATGCGAATCGAGGGGATCATCATGTACATTTCGGCACCCAGTATCCTAGCCACCTTATCCTACCATTTGTGTGAATTAGAAATAGTGAATTGTTATAGCGTGGTTTTTTTTTTCAATGCCCTTGTTTTCTAGTTTGCTACTGCTTTTTGGGCTATTGGACCTTGAGAGTGCCGGTCATCTGTAAGCCACTCATATATACTAGGAGCAGAGATTCTTCTATCACATAGTGAGATCTGTCATGGTCTTTAGTGTAGCTCTACCTAGTTTACCTTGAGAGCTTATCTGAGCTCTTACCAATGCCTTTTTTGATTGGTTAATTCAGCGTACTACGCCTTTAACCTTGTTTAATCCCCGTGCATATTGCATTTATAATTTGTATTTAGCCCTTCTATAGGCGCTCACACCTATAAGTCTTTCATTATTTGCTGCTTACTGCCAGTGGCTACACTATAAATCTTTAAGTAGTGACATACTGTCCAGACCACTATCCTTCCCTAGCTTCAGCGCATGTCCAGCCTGATCCCATTCCTCCATACCTCGGAGATATTCTGCGTACATTCAATGTCAGTAGTGGGATCCCCTTTGACAAGCACCAAATCTGCCTTGAGCCCAGTCGCAACACGGCCCCGGTCATGTAGCTTGAAGATCCGTGCCGGGACAGAGGTAGCTGACTGGAGTGCCTCGAGTGGCGTAAAGCCGCACCTATTCACATACAGCCAAAGTTCATGATGGAGGGAAGCGCCGACGAAAACACCTTTTAGGTGACTAGACGAGTCGGTGCCACTATGATGTAGAGTTCAGCGACTGATTTATAAGATGGGTAAGTAGATACAAAGATGTAGCTAACATAACATACCAGACAATCTCCATACCCGCCTTCTTAAACAGACGGACATTCGCCGCCGCATTCTCCATTGTGAATCCTTTCCTGGCAATCCCCAGGCACTCACACATATGTGCGCGATCGTGCTCCGCACCTAACCGCTGCGAGTAGAGCTTCCGACTCTCCATCTCCTCTGCTCCTGCGGATGCTTGGACTGCTAGTGTAGGGATGACGAATGGCTTGGTCTCTCTCTCCAGGAAAAAGGACAGCTCCTGCTCGCTCAAGGCTTGACAGCAGGCGTGGGCCAGGCCATCAACCCCAGCCTCAAGCAGGGCGGCAGTGTCATTGAATGAGAGTGCATGGCCAACGGTAAGCATGCCGTGCCGATGCGCAATGTCCACTATGGCCATTTGCACCTGGCTCGAGGGCGCTGGGACGGGGACGGATGGGAATGGCAGATCGAATGGGAGGCCGCTCTCCTGCATGAGTTTTATGAAGCTTGTTTTTGTAATAAAGGTTAGATCGCACTCAATATCGGAGGAATTCAAAAAGAAGAAAAAGGATGCTAGATGCTAGCAGGTAAAAGAAAAGGAAACGCTTCCTCACCTTGCGCCTGACTCAATATTCCTCACTACAAACGTCTCCGCTGATGCTACATCTACAACGTCTGGCCATTGTGCAAGCCTGTCACGGACCTGAAAGTAATCATCACAGCATGTCAGAGCTCGTTTATATTCGGTATCGCCTTTCTGCTGACATACCTGGGGGCTATCCGCTGTAAGCTGGATAATAGCAGCAGGCCAACCATCCTTGACAGTGGCAGCATAGCACGCGCTCAAGATATCAGCCACGTCATCCCGAGCCACCGCCAACTGCTTCATCTCCTGAAACCAGTGCGGTTCGTTGTGCATATCCAGCACGGTCGTCACACCGAAGCGCAGAGCATTGCAGAGAAACGTGGCGTCGTTGTACACGTGGACATGCGAGTCGATAAGGCCTGGGAGGAGCGTACACCCAGAGCCCGGGATTTGGACACATCCCTCTGGGAGCACAGGGGGAATGTTGGAAGAGATGCTCGCAATCCGGCCGTTTTCGAGCAGGACGTGAGCATCCTCGAGCGTCACTCGCTCGCCGTCGAAGATTCGCACATGAGTGATGAGGTAGGCCATTTCTCAATACAGAACATCAATGGGGACTTGCAGGCCCCTCGACTTCCCAAGCTACTAAAGTTAAATCATGTTCATGGTGGGAAGAGGATGATGGCAGATTGGCGGGGAGATTCCGCACAGTCAAGTTGGAGTCCCCCGGCGGGACCGATGGGAAGCAATCGAACACGTAATGTGGGGACTAGCGCCGCTGTCTCGTCGACAAAACTACGGACATCTTTAAATCTCTCGCACTTGGGAAATAATCCACTATGTGCAAAAGCTGCAATGACGAATTCGAGATCCAAGGTTGATGTACACGCTCATTTCGTGCCGCCATGTTGGCGTGATGCTCTCGTGGCCCATGGCCTGGAACGTCCCGATGGAATGCCAGCAATCCCGGTTGGTGCTCTTGCTTACCCACGAAAAGCCCTCTGCCCCTATTGACAGCTGCAGGATTGGGATCTGGAGAGGCATATACAACTCATGGACGTCATGGGGATCCAGAAATCCTATCTAAGCATCACCTCGCCGGGCGTTCATCTGGTGGCTGGAAACGACGAGCTCGCAAGAAAGCTTGCGCGGGACTGCAACAACTTTGCACACGAGATCAAAAAGAGCATGCCCCAGAGGATCGGATCGTTCGTATCTCTCCCCTTGCCTGACCTACAAGGCAGCATCCAGGAACTGTACTACGCCTGCGACACCTTGCAGGCGGATGGAGTCGTCCTGCAAACCAACTACCACGGCAGATACCTGGGTGACGCGTACTTTCAGCCCATCTTTGAGGAACTGGACCGTCGCAAAGTGGTGGTGTTTATCCACCCAACCTCGCCGTGTAGCCACCGCGGCAGCACATGCGACAAGGCCGCCGCCGTCCCACTCCCCCAATACCCAGCTCCAGTCTTTGAATTCATGTTCGACACATGCCGCTGCATCATCCATCTCCTCCTCAGCGGGACCATCGCACGCTACCCCAACATCCGCTACGTCGTGCCCCACGCGGGCGGCGCCCTCCCGCCCCTCATCCAACGATTCTCCGAAGCTGCCGCGCTGATTCCAGGGCTGAGCTTGGACCCCACTGTGACCCCGGCTGGTGTCCGCGCGACCCTGAACGAACGCTTCTGGTTCGATACCGCGGGGCCGACCTTTCCCGATCAGATCAGGAGCCTCCTCCAGTACGTGCGGCCCGATAGGATTTGCTATGGTACCGACTATCCGTTCACACCGGCTCAGGGCGTAGAGCATCTGGGTCGGATCATGGAGGAGAGTCTGGCTGATTTAATGGATGATCCCACAGACTGGGAAGGGGTGTATAGCCGCAACGCGATGTGGCTGCTGGAAAAACCTGGGAGTGAGGAAGCGGAGTTCGGCGAGGACAAGGACTCTTGTTAATGGGACTTTGGCAAGCACTGTAGTAGTGTACTATATACTTGATCATTGACCTTGGACCTTGAAATTACCTACGCCCAATCCAATAAACCAACCACCCTCTGATCAACTAGGTTCCTAAATCCTCACATGATCCCAATCAATACATGGCGGATCAATCGCCACATCAATGGTCTCCTTGTCTCCACCGCTGAACAGTTCCATACTCGCACAACCGCTTCGAGTGTGGACCGGGATGCAATGCCTCAGGTACAGCCATTACATTCGCATCCCACACGTCTCAATCGAGACTTGTGCAACACGTTTGAGCGTCATACCACTGATAGCGACAAAACACCTTGGCGTTGCAGAATCAGGCCTGAACCCTAGTCGGGCTTTTATATACATCTTTATGGATAATAATACAGATGTATAGTTGCTACTACATGACTTGCGTGTTTGCACTATTACCCGTTACTCTGGCTCTCGCCAGCCGCGGCCATGGACGACAATGGACACGTAGACCTGTGCGGGCTGATCAGCTGCATGAGCTTCCCCAGAAACAGGCTCACGATTAGGGGAGGTAGCCCCTCGGGTGTGCTGTCTGCATGCGTGATGGAAGAAAAGGTGGTGCAGATCTCTTGGATCAGCACGAGGTCTCGCCCGGAAAAATGGTGTTGGCTCAGCGGATACTCGAGCATGGTGCCAGCTAGGGTGACTATGGCTGGTAGTGCACTCATTGCAAATGCCCTGCAAGCAAGGAGGGAAGTTAGTTTTGGGGGGCTTTGTTTTGACAAGACGGTCTCTGGCCAGGGAGTGTGTGTGGTCTGCCCTTTTATACTTGGGGGAATTGTTGACGGGGGCTCGGGTTGGGTGTCTTACCAGAAGGTATGCGAGGATAGAAGAGATCGGACCGTGCGGATGTATATAAGTGTAGAGCGACACGATTCCAAGACAATCTCCTCGCTCAACCGGAGTGCTTCGGAGTGACCACGTTGCCGCCGGTGGCACCGGAGCCCAGCCTGATGCACCCGGACAAGGCAGTTATAATACTCGAGGCGGGGGATCAAAGCCCTGAGTGCGCGAGCAGCATGTTCGGGACTTGCACCGGCGTCAAGGGGAGCAGGAGGCTCTTCGCGTAGATGCGACGCCTTCCAGTTATTCAGCTCCTCATCGAAACTGCGAATCTGCTTCAGCTGCTCGGCTTCAAGAAGCGAAACCGCGTACCGAGAGCAGAGATGGTGGTAGATTCGGGATTTGATGGTGGCCAGGTGGAGGTCCGAGGGGAACAGGAACACGGGCCCGGGCTGTCTGGAGTGGAGATTGAGGTCGGGGTTCTCGCGTGGGTAGCCGGTCGGAAGGTCGAGATCGCAGTCTTCATCTTTGATCAGTGGTGGTCCGAGGGTCCGCAAGGAGATTTCTTTGTCTAGAGAGTACAAAAGCCAGAACAGATGGCGAAGATGCGGGTGGTTGAACCCGTCTGTCCGGCCGAGTGATCGATTGCCCCCGAGGGCATGGAGCATTGGTACCGCCAGGGACAGAGCATATCCGGCTAATTGCATTTGACCGTATGTTACTGTAAAGAGAGACTTGGTACGTCAGTGTTAACGCGCTGGTTTGACTGTGGAAGACTTGTGTGCATACCAACATGGTTAGGGCCTCTACACCTTGGACAGATGGGCCCTCCAGTAATATATCCGGCACAAGAGCAAGGACCCTCTGCGCATAAAAGCCAGTGGCGGGACTGCGTAGGGCGGCGTGTCTCGCGACGAATGCGGTAAACATGTAGACACAGGCAATTGTCGATGGCCTGGCCCCGAGCGGTGTTGCGTAGAATTGCGCGACAAGAGGAGCAAAGTTGACAGGGTCCACCACGGGAAAAATCGGCTGGAGCAGGGTAGTTGAGTAGACTGCGAGACACTGGTCCACCAATTCCCGCTCCGGTATGGTGGGTATAGAATGCACACGTCCGAAAAGGGGCCAGCGGATACTACAGACACTGGGAATCCCAGCAGCGCAAAAACTGCGAAAGGAAAGGATGCCTAGTGCGCGTTCCAATAGCCATTGCCGGATCTCAGACGCAAATAGCAAGGAGTGCAGGAATGCCAGATTCCGCACTGGGCAATTATCCACATGCTGCTTGAACAGGTGCAGCACTGCAAGAATCCCTTCCTCCGCAACCTTGTGAGGTCCAGATGTTACCGGCGACGGTAGGGGCTCCATTGTCTGAGGACACGACGTCGAGGCCCTGACGAGGGGGGATGGTGCTTCTCTCATGCTATAGAGGTTCCTCCCAATCAGCCATGAACGGCAGAGAATGCTCCATAATAGAGACACAACTCACGGGGTAATCGGGCGGAGCCGCCGTTGGCGCTTTACTCGAGGTGGATAGGTGCACTCAACACCTGCATGCACGCAGTTGTCGCATCCTGTCAGGCCGGCACGGCATTTGATCTTTGACAAGGTAGTGTATCAGTTGTGTGTGCCAGCAGCAGAGCCTAGGGAGAGATATACCTTGCGCTCTCGGCAATAAGTGCAGGCCTGAGGGGCCCGATGAGCACCCCCAACTGCTTGTGTCGGGATTTGATTCACCCACAACGTCCAATGCCCGGTGGAGTCCATCACAACCTTGCAGATAGTATACATTGGCTGAACCTGTGGGGGCAGAGCATTTAAATACTGCTGATTAATCGGGCCGAGAGCAGCAAACAAGGTTCACAACTAAGCTTCATCAGTCCACATTACGTGGAGCCTGCCTTGGCAGATGATATCTAAGTTCGACTACTGTCCTTCACATGCGCTAGATGCAGGAGCAGCATACAGGCACATTAGAGCTAACATGAGTGCGTGAAATATGATAGCTCAGCTTATACAGAGTCTATTAGTCTCCCCGCCGAACGAGATCTTCGTCCAACCTAATATAGCACAAGGCTTGTCGAATAAGAGCATCCACCATTGGAACCATTGCAACGAGGATCTTGTCAGAGCAGGGAATCTACCCTTATTCGCGCCCAGAGCTTTTCTTTGGTTGGAGCAAGGGGTCGCTCAGGGATTCCCAACAGTGGTAACCAGTGCGAGTGTGATGGTACTAGTTTGTCCCCCTGTGTCGTTCCTTGGTGTCTTTCAAACCCACATTTCACCGGTAATAAGCTTAAACTGTACCATAAGAATTGTTCTATTGGAGAGGCACACTGGGCCTGGGCTCTTGTGATGCTGCCTAATGGACCATAGGGCGAAAATACCTAGGATGAGACGAGATACACAGTTGCCTATTGGAATTTTACCATTTATCATTGTACTTCTTTCTTTATCCATTGCCTTGCCTTCCAAGGTCGCTTTCCGAGGGCTCCTAATCACTCTCAAGTCATATCATATTCACCCAAATCCCCTTCAAGCGCGCAGCTCCAAAACTCGTCCCATGAAGACTCCCCAGCCTAACTCACCTGGTCGCCAGTGGATGACACAACGCATTGCCTTCAACCAAGTACACAACTCTTATTACTTACGGCGCCCCAAAAAAATGATTCCCTTGTGTCAATATCAAGATCAATACCCGTCGCAACCTCTAGTCCCAAATAAATCCATCGCGGCGTGCAAGCTGACAGACGTGAATCATATCGTTCCAACGTACTTCCACCCCCATACAGGCGTCATAATTCCTAGTTTGTCGCGCTTCTATTCCCTAAGAAAGGCACAACTAACATGCAAACCAGGTAACTCGCTCCTATCCCGTTCGCCCCCGCCCTCACCACACGTCACCCGTACTCCCGCTCTACAAAACCAGACACTCAAGGATGACAGATTGGTGGACGAGCCTCTTGCTATTGTGGCAGTCAAAAACAATCAGCACGAAGAAACGAATGAGTTTTCGCAACAAACCCACGCTTTTCCTGCACGCGGTAGCGCGCTGATGTGGGGTTCCGACAAGTCTTTCGGTCCAGATCGCTATCATCCGCCACAAGACACTGCGTCGGCTGTAGAGATGGAGGGGGATTTTCGAATCTCCCTCGCGAACTCTATCTGTCTTTTCCTATCATCTGCTGTACCCCTCGAGGAGCAGGCAACCAATGCCGCAGCGCGTCATCATCATCATCAACCTCCTCCTCCTCCTCCTCCTCCTCCTCGTCCTCCTCCTCCTCCACCTCGAAACAGACACTGCTCTACTCTACAGAAACCCACAAAGCAACTCGTTGGAGGCGAGCGCAGAAGACTGTTACACATCATCAATGAGCGAAATAGACGCCACAACCATCGGTTCCTGTATAGCGAGCTATATAAGTTTGTCTCTGGGTCGGAGCAGGGAGTCCGGTGGACTAGGAGAGAGATACTAGCAAGGACCACAGAGCGGCTTGAGCAGTTGATTGATGATAACAACAGTTTGAAAGAACAGTTGATGAGGCTCACATACTCCTTTATAGTACAATGATACCTCATTGTTTGAGCACTTGGCCTGAAAAACTAGACTATGCCTGCAGTTTCGAAAACAACTTGCCCTGGTTGTAGGTCCCAAGAACAGACCCACCAATTGGACAGATTTACCCACGGAGCGCATAGGAAGCGCTCAATAATACGCCCGGTAGCATAATCCTGATGCGCAGCTCGCACAGGTGTGGTACTGCGCGATGGAAACACCCGATGCTGGCCACACAGACCTCACCGTTGGCGTCTTGGTTACCAAGTCTCAAAACCAAAGATGCACAAATCACTAGCCAAGGGTTGTTCTAGCCCTGCACTGCGCGCCAAAGTTGGTGCTGCAGTGAGTCATCCAAGCTTGCGAAGCGAAGGATCTCGCAAGCGCTAGCTGAGGCCATCGTCGGGAACCTGAAACGGTAAAGCTTAGCATCCTGTCGACCTTTAGTGACCGCTATCCGTGCCTTTCTGCCCACCCAAACCGCCTCCGCGATTTGGGTGCGCCACGTATTCTTCGTCGCCACATATTCCTCGTCGATTTCTAATATTTGAAGCTATTAAACAACCACAACATCTATTTATCAATATAAAAGTCTTCTCCTGCCTCTTCTGCACGTCTTGCGTTTTCAATTTCTTGCTGAATTGACTCCTCCGAGCGCGGGGTGGGCTCCCATCCATAGACCTTTTTGAACTGCTTAGATAACCTCTTCTGCTCGCGCGCAAGATCCTTCTCCTTCCTGACCTTAATTGACCGAATAGCATCTTGAACCCTTAGTATCCCGTTGCTACTAAGACCCTTAATCTGTCGCTTTGTATTGTTCCGGCGTTTTGGCTCTTGCACGGCCGTAATTCTATAGATTGCTTGCTGGGTCATCTGTAGCTCCTCCAGCTTCGTCATTTGGTGGTGAAAGACCTTCGTTAAATTTCGCTTCGCCTTCTCTGAAAGGAGGTCTAGATCGCGCATAATCTTTGCCTGATTCCTTGCAAGTGCTTCAATTGTTGCTGGAGGACTGTTTTCAACACTGGAGGATAGTAATTGGGGTGGTGTAGTATCACGGAGGCCTTCTGGGATAGCTATATCTGGGAGTTCTGCTTCATTGGCAAGCTGCTTGACAATTAGTTCTCCATTAACTGGCCAGATCCCACGATCTTTAAAGGATTCTCGAATGATTCGCTGTGTAAAGGCCTTCTCGCGAATTGGTTGAATAATCTGTAAGAACTCTGCCTTCTCATATGGCTGACCACCCCAGAAGGATAATTCATTATTCGCGAGCCGGAATTGCTGCTTATAAGCAAGAAAGGGCTTGCCATCAAGAGGTTGACATAGATGTGTTGTATGAGGCAAGAAACCAAAAGAAATAATCTTATTATCCTCGCAATATTGTAGAAATTCAAGCGTAAGGTGCGCGCCGTGGCCGTCAAATATTAGATATCGCTTCTCGTCTTGCTTTGTACGGTCAATTGTAGCAAGGTCAAATTGATGTAGCCACGCGAGGGCTAGCTCATCAGTTATCCAACCGTAGATCAGCCACTACACGCTCGTGCTTAGCTATCCTAGTAACAGCTCCTGCCTAGAATTAGGTAGGCCACCAAGCAGGGCCACCACAGTCAGGTCCTGGCCGCGGAGGTACTCGGGCCACTAGGTTAGCTTGAGCCAGGGGGAGGCCTTGGTAGGGTGGGGGTCCAGGACAGGCACCTGGCTCGTGGCCTAGTCCGCGGCCGCGTTGCCCTCCCGCAGCGCCTGCCTCTTGGCACCCTAGGCCAGGGGGGCTGACGCGCAGGCGACCTTGAAGAAATTACTCCCGGCCTGGGTAAGGTAGAAGCGCTGGCAGGATACCACAGGATTAGCAAGGCGAGCCTGCTGGCGGGCCCTGGCCCGCGCGGCTAACAGCTGGCCCGGTCCCTAGTGACTATCCTGCTCCCTGTGCTTCGCGCGGCGGTGCGTGTCGATGGAGTCCAGGGTCCGGGCGATATAGGGGCAGTGCGGGCAGCCATGGCCCTGGTAGACAGGCAGGCCGGGCACCCGTGTCGGGTCCACAGGGCCGCTGGAGCATCCTGGCCAGGGCGGCCTCGCGGCGGTCGGGTGGGAGCCATGGCGGGTGCGCAGGTGGGTGAGCAGGGTGGAGGGGGTCACCGCGTACTGGCAGCGGGAGGCCATGCAGATCCAGACCTGGTAGGTGGGGTTATAGAGGAAGAGATCCGTGCCTTATTTTAACTACTAGGTATAGAAGAGGAAGGGGAGGGAAGAGAAGATTAGTTTTATAACCTATTTTACCCCTTTTTTCCTTTCGGCTGACCTCTTTTCCTCGCGGCGTGATATCATGAAACAAGCACGCATGGGTGTCGCGATAAATGCAAGGATGGACGCGTTGGAGGAATGTGATCTATTAATCATATTCATCATTATTATTATCATGCCAGGCAGAGGCAGGCATGCGGGCAAGAGACGGACATGGGTCCTTATAGGTACGCACCCCGCACAGGTGGTGTGGGAGAACGCACACGCACCACAGGGGCGACGGGGGCACGCACATCACATCAACCAATCAGGGCACGAGAAAAGCTGACGCGCCCGCGGTGCGTCGGCCCCTAGGGAGCTGGATCTTTTTACCACTGCGATGGCCATTTTAATACGAAGTCAACAAGTGGGGACAAAAAAGTGGTGATGTTCTTCAGCTGTTGATAGCCTGTCCCCTTTTCTCTGGTCAGTCTGACTAGTGTGGTAAACAGTCGGCCACCGTGCGCCCAGTTTGTGAAAGTGTGAACCGCACTATATCATAGTGTCGACCTTGAGTGACCGCTAGTATTCTGCTTCAACGCCGAACTTACTGTTAGTCAGCGCCTGCTTGGTCATTCCTTGTATCGTTTCTATTTCCTATTTTAGTTAGTTAGATTACCCCTATTTCTCTTGTATTTAGTGCAGTATCGCTGCTAGATTCAATGAATCAGACCTTCACATTCCTCTGGCGGTGGACCAAATATTACGTACGCCACGAAGTCCGACACATAGCTACGGCGGCTGTGGCTTCCCCAACGGCGATCACCTGATGCATGAGATCACCACCAATTCTAATAACATTCGCTCTTTAGGCTTGACGACCACAATAATGTTACCAGTGCTGTTCATTCCGCTTAGACTAACCACATTATTGGTGCTCTGACATCACTAACCGGAATATACTTAACCCGAGGCCTCCATATCAAGGCCTCCTAGCGGCAGACCATAAAAATGAAAGTGGAAGAAGCGATTATCGTTAATTAGTTATTCTACGATATATTCTTGGTAATTGGATTCCAGAATGAGTGGCCAGACAGAGTCTCTTCTAGTGGCTACTATTGTCATGACTTCTATATCCACATTGGTGATCATCACAAGAATAACATTTCGCGCCTGCTTGATTCGCACTGTAGGATGGGATGATTGGATCGTGCTATTGGCAACCATGATAAATATTGGGATATCCATTTCTATAATCTTAGGTGAGCTGGAACTTCCTTGAGCGCTGATAACATATAGTATTTAACTGGCCATACAGGAGTTGGGCGGGGACTAGGAGGAAGGGAATGTTCAGATAATCCAAACGATCAGACTTTATCCAAGGTAAGCTTCAGCTACCACTGGTCATTCAACTGGCTGCCTATGAAATAGTTGCATATAGCAACCCAGTTACTATATACCGTTACCGCCGGATTGATAAAGATTTCCATCCTGATCATGTATCACCGAGTATTCTTGGATTTGCAAGTGATCACAATTCTAACCATAATTTTTATTGTGGCCATGAGTGTGGCTTTTTTCTTCACATACATATTTCAATGTGATCTACCAGATCCATGCTCAACCAGTACGGAAATACGCAAGCGGAAATGCTTGCCTGCTCTCGGCTTCTGGACTGCAGCCTCTGCGGTCTTTGTTACTACCGATATATGGATTGTTGTCCTACCGATCAAAATTGTGCTCAACCTTCAGCTTTCGTGGGAAAAAAGAATCACTGTATTGGTAGTGTTCTCACTGGGCCTCTTGTCAGTATCCAATTCCTTACCCAGATCAAGTTACAGCTAACATTGTTACCCAGGTCCTGTGGGGCTGGGATCGCGAGACTGATCTATATCGTGAAGTTATATGATAGTATTGAGCCTCCCTCTTGGACTAGTGCCCCGATACAGTTGTGCTCCATGCTTGAAGTTTCGTTGGCGTTAGTAGCCTGTAGCATCGCTCCATTGAAGAAGGGCGCTGTCAAAATCAAGGAGTATCTGACTCGCGATTCCGCAGCCGTTCGATAATTTTTGCGGCCCTAAGCAGGTATAAACGATAGGGCAGGGTTGGCTCATGCATTGTGCAGTCAAAATGGCATAGTAATAGGCCTCTGGCACTCTTTACAAATGATAACCTGAACTTCTGCACCTTTGTTCTCACATGCATTTATTCTAAGAGAGAAACACCATTAACTCACATAAGAGGCCTTTTCCGGCTCTGATATTGTTTTCGGCGTGTACAAAGCAACATTTGTTAAGGCCTGGATTACCAGCGATTCTGACCCTACCACATCCACTACAAACAACCCTGGGGCATGTATCAGATGGCAGAGTTCATTCAAGTTTTTTAGCCTGGAGGACTGGCCCGGCCCTGGGTGAGTAATGGCATCCTGGATCAAAGCCCACGCTACAGCGTTGTAAAGAATGCCCTCATGCAGCACAACCTGGATTCCGGGACACAGAGCTTGGATTTGGTTGTTCGAGACACCGACTGCTTTTGGATCGTTGATATATCCGGACGCATTGGCTCCGTCTTGTGGTTGAACAATCTCATCAGTTGACGAATATACTGTAGTCGTAGGGACAAAAGCCTCCCTACCGCCGTTGGATGAAAATAAAGACATGAAGTTGGATGAACTCTCTTGTTGAATAATCGACGGAACACAAAGAGCCGGTGGCGTTAGGCGAGAACATAAGAACGCGGCCAAAATGGTACCTTTGAAGTCTGGGCTGAGAGCGACAAAGTCGGATATGGCTTGTCGAGTTGAAGGCCAGTACATGAAACTCCATTGGACATTTATGGCACCTTGAGACCAGGAGATAATCGATAGGTTGCAATTCCCACTGATTGCGGATATATAGTTGATAGCGTATGCAACGTATTCCGAGTTCATCTGGATGTCTCCCAAGCTGTTCCCAGGTATGTTCAGCCAAACGGGATCCGCATATGTGGTTCCTTGTAAGAGCTTCGCTATAGTATTCGCATATGTGGGCCCTCCTGAAATTCCCGTTCCTGGTACTAGAAGAATTGGTGTCTTGTTCCCTCGTCCGTATTCAAAGCCAGAGGGGATATAAATTGAAGAACGCAGTAGAGTTTCATCGACTGAAAATGGCACATCATCTAAGTGCTTCTGCGGGTAGATAACACGGGAGGGTTCGGGTTCATTGTTACTGTATTTTGAATCCGCCGGGGTTGAAGTTGTCCAGGCTCGCGGTATAGAAAACAGGACCACCAAACAAGTGGTTAATGCAAATCTCATGTCGGTGATTTGAGGCAGAGAAAAGACGACATATGATGGTAATCGATGGGATTACAAGCGTAGCGAGTACAAATATGGGGTTGATATACCCTAATCGTCGAATTAGGCTGCCAGGTTTCCAAAGACATCCCGAAGATGCCGCAACTTTGTTTAGTTCACGTGGCATTCGAACGCCGGTGCAGATTGTACCGCGGGATCCGGTCCACGGACGCATGTAAAAATTTTTACACAACCCGGTTGTATCCTCGGCGCGGCTTGACAACTTATCGGGTGGTCCATTCCAAAGGAAGCCCCCGACTCGGGGCATTTGCTTCGACAAAAGCTTCTACTTCACATTGCCAATAGATTAAGGGAGGGGATTTGTTGATAGAGAAGTCTTCTCCACTAGAAACCTGCTAAATTCATAGGGTTCCTTCTAACTTTCGAAGGTTGATGGGCCGGGTAGAAAAGGGGAGGGGGTCAAGGGTGGTTCGGATCGAATCTAGGAAGTGACGAGAAGCTGAAAGTGTCATACCAACCAGTTGGATGAGTTTAACCAGCTTTATTCGCTGGATAATGCGCCTCGGCGCCTGCATAAACGTGTTTATCCTCATTGATATCATCGCTTGAAGTCATTGTGCAGATTAGAAATGGCACAGAAGTGCTCTACAAGAGCACTAATTAGTGCTAGCTAGTGCGCTGGAGCTAATTGAATTTAGGTCTTATAACTATCTCCTATAGGTTCTGTTTAAACAGGATATAGGAGTTTGCATGATGCGTAGAGATACAATAAGTGTGTACCACCAAGAGTTAAAGCACATAGTACATGTAACAATCGCCCTTATATTAGCTCACTGCACGGCTTCGCTACAATGACGCACTGCTTCTCCAAGAGAAAGACACGTCAAGTTTTAAAGTTTGGTAATGCACATGGTCTATGTATTTGGACTTGGCTCATTCTTATATAATTCAATCGGTCTCTGACTCATGGACCTCGGCACTCAAGACGACCTGTTCGTGCTGAGCCCGTCGTTGCCCCCAAGCACCTTGGATGCATCACCCACCACCAGATTTTCATAGCCAACCATGTAGGTCATTGGGAGCTGCATGAAGAAATGGCAGTCGTCGCCCAGGTCTTCAGCACTGGCGACGGCGCTCTATAATGCCGAACATCTCCACCGCGTTCGACACAGCGCGCTCGTGCTGGGGCCGTACGGGAGACCACCGGGATCTGGTCCACTTCGGCATCGTGCTCCTGATCGTAGCGGATATCGGGATTGCGCGAGTCTTCTCGCTCATCCCGACCCTGGTCCTCGCGAGTGAACAACACCGCGCCATGGTCCGGAAGCTCATCGTTGTCTGGCAAAAGGAAGACCTAGGTACGGCGCGGCGCAGCAACCCCTTGTGTCTCCCGTAGAACGGCGAGCTGAGCTAACATGGTGTAGACAATTGTCGGTGGGTGAGCATGCAGCATTTTACTGGACCTCGATCGCCAGGAATTCAAGGTACCCCGACCGTCGAACAGGCAGAGAGCCCTATACTGACCGTGATAGATCCTCCGATTCGTCCTTTACAAACGTCGAAACCACAAGAATGAGCCCTCTCGTCATCCCGGTACGAGGATTCGATTCATGGAAGGGTCTGTGGATGCGGAACAGACGATAAGGACATACCTGAATACGCGTCGGGGAGTATGCTGGTAGGCGGTATGAACCCTGTGCGAGGCCGGGGGAAGGCAGATGCGTCCGGTGAGGCCACATACGAATCACTTTGTCTCCAGTCTGTGCCCGACACTCGATCCGCAACCAGGTCACGGCGATCGTTCAGCCCAGGTTGAGCGATGACCTCCGGCTCCTGGATCTTGACGTTGAGCCGTGTCATCGGTGGTTGAACACTGACACAACAATGGCCGACATGACGGGACCATCCAGAAACTGCCGCCAATGGGTCGCCTCCAGAATAGCTAAAGGCCGTGGTCATTCCAGATGACCGATCTCCCAACGGCCCCTTGTTCGACGAGCGCCCATTCGGATTCTATTAGTTTGCCAAATTCCCCCTACACGTCTTGATCCTACGGATGTTCTGATGCTCACATAATCGACATCGATTTCTCTCGCGACAACGGTCACTTCAGGTTCAACGCATGCCCCAACACAGGTAATTCCGCAATCGAACGGACCATAGTACCACTATTCACATTACTCCGCTCCTTCAGCATCTTCGTGTTTGCCCAGCCCGTCCGACGGCGAGAACAAACTCCTATCGCGGGATCGAAAAAGTGGGCCGACAATTCGCCAAAATTCACTTTACGAAGACGATGACACTGCCTCTGCGGTTACATATGTTTCCTCAGCCGAAGAGGAGTCGGAGACCGACGAGGCAGAAGGCATTGATGCTCTAGAAGCAAGGATGCGGAAGGAGTACAGCTCACTCTCTCGAGGAAAGGTACTATACTGGTGGGCACTCGGAACAGGTTCTTAAATTTTTGTTCGATATGGTTCGAAGCATAAACCAATTTATCGTGTGCGGGCGGGATCTTCAATGCCCTACGACCCGCGAACCGCAGAGCAGATCCTTAGCAAAACTCGTGGAAGCGCAAAAGTTACTCTTACATCCAGTGAATATAAGGTAGAGGAATGGAAGTATTCGCGAGACGAGGTTCAAGACATCATTGGTGTGGGCTGGAAGGTCGAAAATGACGATGATACCAGTGCAAATGCGCTGTCACTGATCAGACCTGTGAAAGATGCTACATACCCCCATACACGAGTCCTGGTTAAGTGGAAAGATTAAAGCATTTTCCTGGAACGCAGAGCATTTATTCGGCGGATTACCCACGGGAATAGCCTTAACAGTGATTGACTCATTTATCTAAAGGCCAAAGAGCTTGAGAATGCCTATTGGGGGTATGATGTTGAGGACACAAGTGATGAATAATTGGACACCAGCGATGGCTCCTCCTCAGATGAGTCCTTGGACCCCAAAAGTCGTTTGCGTCGAGCTGGAAAATACCCGTCTAGGATTCGCTCAGCCAGGAAGAAAACCCGTCCGACAGAATCAAATGCGACAAGTGACAGTGATCTCGATTCGTACACGTTAGAATCAAGATACAAGTAAAAGAAGCGTCGATTAAGGCATCTTCGCCTTAAGAAAACCAAATCCAAGGATGACTACAATACTAATGCTGAAATCCATAATTTACTGGAGGAACTTGAGCGCCTTAAGCTTAAGAAAACCCGAAAGAAGTCAGCTTCCTCACGCAAAACCTGATATCGCAGAACCTAAACGTGGACATTCAATCAAGAAATATTGACCCAGCGAAGAGGTAGTTAGGGCGGAGACTACGAGATGTGCTGAACCTTCCACACGAGCTACCTGGGTCAAGTCACTCCTTTTCTTGAGATATTTCTATTCACTTCTTAACTCTCCTTTACAAATGTTCTAAGCTTTGAAAGTTTTCTTTCCTTATCTTTCACTACTTATGGAAACAAACTATCTACGGACTTACTCTTGTTGGAAAGATCTCTCACGGAAGTGGGGCTGTAGCTTTTCAATTTAATTTGTGATGCCGGATTCTTTGTGACCTTCACGATCAATGCTACTTGTCGTTGCAGAATATCAAATCCAGATTACTATACGACTATAATATACGCGCTTTAGTTGACCTTCTCAGAGGGTTATCCATACGGGACTAGTTCGTCTTGTCGCGCTTTGCTAGTTGTCTCAGTTGCCAGTCCTAGTAATTACGAAGACCCTAGACAGTACCGGTAATATACCGCAAACCGAAGCAGCAGTGGCAACTCGGGTGCCACCGGGAACATATCTCGGCTCTAGTGTGTAAGTAGTTCTAGGATAATTTATATGATCAACTCTACAGCGCTAAAATCCGCTTTTAGTAGCTAAAGT